TTCACTATTTATTTGGTGCGCACTTTTTTTGTTGGAACTAACATTACGCTCGTTGTATGAAATGTTTTTATTAAAATTTTTTAGAAATTTATTAATATAAAAATTATTCCATTTAGAATATTAACAAAATAGAATTTTTCATTTAATGCTTTAAGTGTGGTTGATGATTTTTACCCTTAACACACGCATTGAAGGATATTATAAATTATATATATATATACTATTCCGTATGTTATAAATTCTTATTAATTCTACTGTATAGGGGAACTTTTCATTTGCTATGAATTTAATCAAATTTACAATTATTCTTTGTTAATATTTATAGTTTACCTCCACAGGGGAACAAAAGGCTTAGGTATACCATACTATCTATGTTTGCGATATTTAAATAATGAAATGCGTTGTGTTTGATTTTGTAAAAGGGGAAATTAAGAGAGACTTGATTTACAAAGGAATTCGATCTCATTTACAAAAAAAAAAAAAACAAGTAAGAAATTATAGTCGGGCGAGGCCGACCATATAATACCCTACACCTTTGACAAAAATATAATGTGATTTAGTTGCCATAATAAAGCATTTAAGTTGAATTGTACCTTACCTTAGATATACATACTTAAGCCGTTTATTGTTGAATAAAATTGTGGACATTTAAGTGAAATTTTGATGGGGGCTTTTCATAGGGGCTAGGGTCATATGAGAACCTATTATTATGGAATTCATGGGGGTCATCAAGTCTTGTATACAACTTGGTTTTTGCAGCTTTTTGTCGAGATATGAGTATATTAAACATAATTATGAACTTAAAAGCCCTATTCGGCGGGTTCAGTTGTATGGGGGCTAGGTGAAATAATGGACCGATGTAAACCATTTTCAACAGGCTTCATCTACGGTACCATAAAAGATCATGTGCCTAATTTCATTGAATTATCTCTAAAATTGCGACCTGTAGTTTGATTACAAGGATTGCAAGCCCTATTGGGGGGTTCAGTTGTATGGGGGCTAGGTGAAATAATGAACCGATCTTAACCATTTTCAATAGGCTTCGTCCCTGGGACAATAGAAGATCATGTACCAAATTTCATTGAATTATCTTCAAAATTGCGACATGTAGTTTGATTACAAGGTTTACATGGACGGACGGACGGACGGACATAGCTAAATCGACTCAGAAAATGATTCTGAGCCGATTGGTATACTTTAAGGTGGGTATAGGACCAATATTATTGTGCGTTACAAACATCAGCACAAACCCAATATACCCTCCCCACTAAAGTGGTGTAGGGTATAAAAACATCTAACACAATTCCCTAATAATTTGGGCGAATAGAAATGGTGTTGAAATATTCTTAAGGGATTTTTGTAAGATAATGTTTAGAATATATCTGGAGCATAATTTTTGTCACTGTTTGGAGGATCATTTTTTTTTTTTTTCTGAGAGCAAAATATTAAAACAGTTTTTTATTATTTTCAACTATATCCTATGGAGTGTTTTCATTTTCTCTCATTATTATTCCTATTTTATACCTCCTGCCTTTACTGGATTGATCAAAAAATGTCTATATATAAAAATATATATTTATAACAAATAAACATACATTCCATAATACATGTTTATAAATATCACACTCAATATTTTTATTTGTTTGTTCGAGTTTTTTTTTTCATGCTTTTTTATATATTTATTTTCATGTCTATTATTTGTGAGCTTGACTTTTTTTGTACGATTCTCTGGCATATATATTTCTCCGGTTGTGACTGAAAAATTTTCTATTTAGTTGTTAGTTGACACTTGGCAAATAAACATTTAGCAGGGCCATCACGCCACGTGTTTCATCGAACATTTTTAAAAAACTTCCAATAAATTAAATAAACATCTACAATATATTATACTACATGCATACAAAGTGCTTTTGTAAATAAAAATATTTAAATTAGTTAATATTAATTTATTTTCTAATTTTAAATAAATGTAAGTGAAACAGTGATTTAATTACTAATTTTAGCTTACAAAACGTTTTTAATCAGCAATTCAATCACAATAGTTTTTGTTTTACTAATGCAAAACATTCGTTTATTTAAAAAAAAAAAAAATAATAATTAATACATATTTAATTAAAAAACTAATTAATGTTTGTGTATATATGTTAAATATTTCCAGTTTTTTCTTGAATTTCTATAAAGGGTTACGAACAAAGAAATTGTTTACATTTTATTTCTTTATTTCTTAAAGAAATAAATAAACAAATAAATAATGTTTCATAACAGTTTTATATAGATATAAATCTGGAATTTTTTTTATAAAATGGAACAAGTTAAATACGTTTTAATTAAAACAATGGTCATAGCCCCGACTGTATTTCACACACTTTTAACGATAAAATGATTAAAAAAATAAAACATTTGTTATTTTCAAATCAACAACAACAACAATACAATAAGTAGTATTTATTACTCTACAAATCTTTCTTATTTCAAACAAGGCCTCACTTCTGGCCTCGTAGAATTCTCTCTAAAATGAATGTCTTTTTTAAGATAAAATTTTTTACATAAATTGATCAGAAGGACTCATCGTCTATATATTGGCACTGAGTCTTTCATTGATATTCTTCAAGTATAAAGACGATCTTGGAGTAGCAATGCCAAAACTTATCTATGTATTTACATGTATAAATTCTGTAGTCTACAAGAGGAACCTTCAGAACATATACATACTTTGTAACTGCTCATCATTAGCTTCTCCCAGATCAGAGGACTCTATATATTGGCGCTGAGCCTTTGATTGATACTCCTCAAGTATATGACAAAGCAAAGTGCCCCTCGTTGAATCTGAAAGTCTATCGTAGACTACTAAAGATGATCTGAGAATACTAACAGTAAAACTTACTGAACTATGAGGTTTTATTCTTGGCAGTGCAATAACGAATCTATGTTGATTCTGTAATCTACAAGACGAATTCTCAGAACATAATTGGCTTTGTACCCCTTCAATATAAAGTATTCGGGGCTTTTAGTACACATAGCTATTTTGCTGAGATATTATTTACAGTTTATGCATCGTAATTAGGAACATAGCAACCGCTTTTTAAATTGGGGCACTTGTGAACTTATTTAGTTGTTGTAACAGCTAAAATTATACAATAAACTAGTTAGGATATTCTGCATCAATGTCTAGCCCTAAAAATTGTGCTACTTTGTGTCCCTAAAACCATTGGACAAAGTGAAGTTGGGTTGGCTAAGCAGTTCAATATATGATCCCATGCTGAACGTTCGTTAGGGAAGGCAGTATACTGTCGTGGCCAGTCTGTTGCATCATATCGATCTGTAGTTCTGTTTTCGACAGGTTTTCTGTGTCTGGTATGGGCTTTGGGCGGCCTCCAAATACGACATTTATGCGGTATCCTGTGACTTCAGAATTAATGGAGTCCCTATGAATCTCGTTCAAAGTTGACATATACAAGGACTTTTCTATTGGATCCTGCACATAACCTGTGTGTTCTCCTCGTATATACGAGAACCTTTCCAAGCTTTGGGGGAGCATCAAATTGTGTGATGTTAAAGGTGGAATGACTCCTCTGGTGACAGGAGGGACTGTTTAGTCAACCTGACATTTTGTTCCCCGAATGAGAGGCCCTTCTTTCCCTCGTGTAGATGATGTTTCGAGGTAATTTGTAGGCTTCTAACCTTGTTACAGTCCTTAGGGCAGCATTTTGGCACAGGGTATGACTAAGCGAAGGTGGCCACACTGAAGGTTTCTTTATTCATACCCCAAGTGCTGCCGGCTAGTGCTTTGAGGGCCTTGTTTCTACTTCGACATTTGTGCGTTGGTAAATAGGCTGTGAAATATGACCCCAAAGTTTTTTTGGGTGCTGCATGGTCGAAATTTGAACTCTATCGATCCATCGACGCTAAGGTTCAGGTGATAAAGAGTGTTGCTCAAATCGTCTGTTTACTTTTTTACACTAGTCTCTTCACTTATAGCTTCAGAGGTACACGCGATCTTGATGGGATTTCTCATATTCTAGTTAATATGATGTTGATCTGAAAATCTTCAGATTAAGCTGAATAGATATAAATCTGCCTTCTATTGACCTTATTGATTGAATAATGACCTTCTTTTCTTGGTTCTAAACATCGAGTTATAAGTCTTTGGGACATTGGATCTTATAGGAATCCGGAAATTTTGTATTATTATTCTTTTCTTGATTTTATAGATATTCGTAGGTATTTATTTTTCCCCATGAGAGAGGTACACCTCCCTTCAAAATACGTATCAAAAAATCAATTGCTTCGGATCAAATCCGTTAATATTCGGAAGCTATATGTGCTTCCGAATCATATCTTTCGTGTTAAAGAATTATAGTTCAGATTTTTGTAATAGTTATAAGTTTGGCTTGTATATACTATAAAAATCAGCTAAAGTTTTGATCTGATTGTAGGCTATTTAAGTGGTGTATTGTCTAGATAAAATTTGTATATAAAATAGTATCGAGCACTTTAGTCATAGAATTTCAGGGCTCTGTTAAATCTAAAAAAAACAAGTAACTTTCACAAAATGCTAATTTCTACGTTTCATCAAATTAAAATGTGCAATTCGTTAAATTAACGAAAATTTACCTATAATTGCGAATTTCCACACTTTTTACATTTGTTTAATAGATGTTATATTGCTCACATGTATTATATAGAGGTTTATTTACGCCAGATAATCAATAGTATTTGATTTAATTAAATATTTCTCAGTAATTATAAAAATCCCAAATGCTAATTAATGTTTTTGTAAATATAAAAAAAAACAATTATTATTATTTCATTTGCATAAATTCTTTTATTTTTAATTTATTTCAAATCATGGGGTTTCTATTTCTCAACATATTGCGCGACATTTTATTCTTCTTGAAATTGTCACACAACTTTTTCTTTTTGTATTTTAACACATTTATCATAAACATTTGTTTAAAACAATATTTCTATCTTTTATTTCTTAATAATTTTATTTGCAGAAAAAAACTTGCAAACTTGTTTTATAGAGAGAATAGTGAGAGAAATATATTTTTCGAAGAACATATAAAAATCCGCAAGAAAGAAACAAAGAAAGTTAAAAAAGAAATTGTCTTAAGACTGCCCACTACAAGAACCAAGAGCCGTGAGCTGTGATAACTTTAGTATACAAAATCCATTTAAGCGAAAGTGTCGATCACATTGATTGTGAAACGAAACGAATTGTAAAGAAAGACTTGCACTGAACTGGTTTAAGTTTGAGTTTTTTTTTGTTTTTATAGAAACTATTGATATTTTTTGTTTGGATTAAGAAAGGAAATCGCCACCTTCCTTATACGAAGGCCAAAACGATTGTGATATTATTTTGGAAGTGAAACCTTAGAGAAGAGAAGGAGAGAACTTATATTTTATTTTATATATTACAATTTTATTAGAAACATTATACTTAAACTATAGTTTGTAAAAAAAAGTCTTGTCTTTGGAAATATTTTTTTTTTTTTTTTGAAAAACAAAAACTGAACATTTGGTTACATTCTAATTGTCCTGTTTTTTTTTTTTTATAAATTACTAACAATTGCAGAAATTTTGTATTTCATTTAATTTCTATTTATATATAACACATATATTTCTTTTTCAACAACTGTTTAATAAAACATTACATATATGAATAACATTCAACATAAAACGGCAAACGCATCATCATCATCATCATCATCCTCATTAATATCATCGTCATCATCATCATTGACATCATCTGCATTAAACACACTTTCATCACAGCCATCAGCAGCTTCATCACCACCATCATCATCGCTAATAACATCAGGCACGACTGCATTAACTCCACCATCTTTAGATGCAACTTCATCAGCGTTAGCATCAGAGTCATCCTCATCATCATCATCCACTTCTTCTGCAACCCTAACACTACAACAGACACCATTGTTGCATACTTTAGCTCCTACCTCACCTACGCCTCCACCCACTCCGCCTACACCTCCGCCTTCAGCTAGCAATTCTAATACCCCATCCCCACCGTCCTCGCCCTTTGCGGGAATTTCATTGAATTTTTCGCCACCCACTGCTCAGAACTCATGTGGTAGTGGTAGCGCTTCTACCTCTCCCACTGACGAGGCAGAGGAAACCTGTTCCAATTCCTGTTGTTCTTATCCAACTTTTGAGCAAATTAAGCAAAAACTCAAAAATCAAGAATCACAAACCCAACTGACCCTCTTAAATTCCCTACTACTTTCCTCCACAGCTAACGCCGCTGTCGTCCAGCACATCCCACATTCGACTTTAGTAAGATCTGTGACAGCTACCAGCATCATGGATATGCCCTACAACACCTCACCTTCCTTACGTGTGCGCACCACTTCGCTTAATCAGCTCAAGAAAACCGCCGATCTTGTCATAGAGAACGAGTTGCACGTTTGCCCCAGTGAAATGCCCGATGAATTGCGTAAACTCTTGCCTCCCACCTCGGAGACCGTGATGACTAAACCATTTCCCATACGTGGCGAGCGAGCCATTTCCGATGTCTCCACTCCCCACGTTATTGCCATGGTTGGCTTGCCCGCTAGAGGCAAAACTTTTATCTCGAAGAAACTCGCACGTTATCTAAACTGGATTGGTATCGCTACCAGGGTCTTTAATTTGGGTGAATATCGCCGCCATGCCACTAGCGCCTACAAATCTCACGAGTTCTTCCGTGCTGACAATGAAGAAGCCATGGCTATACGCAATCGTTGTGCCAACCAGGCCTTACATGATTCTTGCGAATGGCTATTGAGTGGTCAAGGCAGCGTAGCTGTCTTTGATGCCACCAACTCTACATATGATAGACGTAAATTAATACATGAGATTGTGGTGAAACAACATGGCTTCCGTTTGTTCTTTGTCGAGTCCATTTGTGATGATCCTAGCATCATTGAGCAAAACATTAAGGAGGTCAAAGTCAGTTCTCCTGATTATATCAACATGAATACCGACTTAGTAGTGCGTGATTTCCTGCAGCGTATAGAACATTATGAAGAACGTTATCAACCTATCGATGAGGTTAAGGAGGAGCATTTAAGTTTTATGAAAATCTACAATGCGGGCAAAAAGGTAGTCGTTTACAATAACGAGGGTCATGTAGAATCACGCATTGTTTACTATTTGATGAATATACACATAACGCCCAGGACCATTTATCTCACCCGTCATGGTGAGTCAGAGCATAATCTCAAGGGCCTTATTGGTGGAGATTCCAATTTAAGTGAGCGTGGTCGTTTATATGCTAAAGCTTTGTCGGCCTATATAGAGCAACAGAATATAGAAGGCTTAAGAGTTTGGACCTCCTGGATGAAGAGAGCTATACAAACAGTGGCCGCTGTTAAGGCTCCACAAGAACGTTGGAAGGCTCTTAATGAAATCGATGCTGGTCATTGTGAAGAAATGACATATGAGCAGATAAAAGAAAACTTCCCCGAAGAGTTTAGCGCCAGAGATCAAAATAAATTTGCCTATCGCTATCCACGCGGTGAGAGTTATGAAGATTTGGTAGCTCGTTTAGAGCCCGTTATCATGGAATTGGAACGTCAAGGCAATGTTTTAGTAGTTTCACATCAGGCTGTTTTACGTTGCCTGTTTGCCTACTTCCTGGACAAGTCGGCCGATGAATTGCCCTATCTGTATGTGCCACTACACACTGTGATCAAATTGACACCAGTGGCCTATGGCTGTAAGGTGGAACATATTAAATTACCCATCGATGCAGTCGATACACATCGTCCTAAGCCCAAGATACCCGGAGATGTTTCATTAGGTCTTGATGGATTAAGCGGTGAGTTGGTAGCTCCTGATGGTGTGGGTAAGGTGTTGATTGTGGGCGATGATGTGACTAAGGCGACTAACGGCGGTATCATAGGCAATGGCCTAGTTGCATCCGTTTCCTCAGACACGAACAACACCATCAGCACCACAACCAACACCCCTTCGGATGGTAATGCTAATAACACTAATAGCGTTGCCATCCATCAGTGACATTGTTGCCAACACAAACGCGTTCTAATCAAACGTGGACTGCTGGCTCAGTTTCATTTGAATCGTTTTAATACATTATAATTCGTAGAAATTCAATCAATCAATCAATTGTCGTTTACAATTTACAATAAAAGTTTTTTTTTTAAACATAAAGAAATGTAAATCATTTAAATAAACACATTTTTTTCAAACGTTTTTTTCCAACCCAAAACAAAAATTGATGACACTTTAGATTTTTTTAATGGTTCTTTTTAAAGATTTTTTTTGTAATGGCAGCTGGACCACTAAAGTACTTTGGACTAAGTAGATTTAATTAAAAATAGTTAAAAAAGATCTTTATACAACAAACTTTCTCTAATTAAAGAATTTGCATCAAAATTCATATTTTATTTAAAATTCAATACAAATTATTTAATTTTTCTTTAATAAAACATTTTGGAGTCAATAAATTGTTCTAAAATAGTTTAAACCTTTCTTGCAGCTAAATATAAAGCCATTTCTTAATTCTTAAATTACACTGTACAACAAATTTTTAACCCAAAGCCTAAAATTTACTGTTTTAAAGGATTGAGCACGCGTTGAATCCTGATTTATTGTATCTATCACATCAGGTTTTCTAGATACCGTGCGTTTGAAAATCACCCGTTTTTGGACATGTTGGAGACGCTATAGCAGCTCGAACACCCTTCTATTTATAAAATTTGTTATCTTTTCAGAAAGACCAAAATCTGTCGACTTTAAAATAAAGAAATTTTTCGAACTTCATAATACGATATCTGGAAAGCCTCATGTAATGGATAAATTCCTTGGAAACGTATACTTTGTGTTTTTGGTTTAACATTTTTCAAATTTTGTTGTCCTGTGTTATTTTAAAATTAAAGAAATTGTATAGGTGTCATCTGTTTTTATTATCATAATAAAAAACGCCATTTTAGATTCATGTTACCAGATGATTATGTTGTTATGTTATTGCCATTAAAATTTAAACAAAATTTCATTTTAATGTTCATATTAGCTCCTGAAAATCATTTTGTGTTAAAATTTCCTTATGTCATTGAAATTTAAACTTAATTGTTGAAAAATGAACTAAATTAGTTAAATTTTACACACATCGCTCTTAACTACTTAAACATAAAAATTAGAGTAGACTAAAAGAAAAATTCAACCCCAAGGGTTTTGAAAATGTTAAACAAATAGAAATATTAAAAGACAGAAAAATAATCTTAAAAAGGCAACAGAATGAATATGTAGAAATACCTACAATTATTATATTGCCTTTAACATGTTTTGTTTAAAAAAGTTTTTCCTTTTTTAATTAAAATTTATTACAAGTTTAAAATGTTAATATCTAATAGTTATAAACATGACTGAACTACTTTCTTTTGATGTCTACAAAATTATACTTTATTAAACATTTTTTCTGCCTTTGAGTGTAAAGTTTCCTTTTTTTTAATAAAATAATTAATTGTTCTCTGTTTTATTATATATATATTTTTTCTTATTAAATTCATTTTTGTGCTCGAAACGCAGAGACAAGACTTTTCGACTGAAATTAATGTTAACTTAATGAAAATAAATCATGTAAACTTATTATTAAATAAATAAAATACTTAATATAATTTATTATATATATATATTTATATTATTGTATATCAAAACTTAAAAACAAAATCCTATAATTGTAAACATTTGATTGTGTCTCTGATATATTTTCTTTGTACTAGATTAAAAAATAAATAAAACTTATATTTCAAATAAATACAATTTTCTTATGTCTCATTATCATATTTTGAATAAAAAATAAATGGAATAAAAACTACTAAAAAATAATAAAAACAATTGGTTTTCATTATATTGTGTTTCTTTTTTCATTTCATACCATCTATATAATTCTTTTACAGGAAACTTGGAACTATTTATGTCAAAAATCTAATAAAAATATTTTGCTTAACTATAGAAAACTACAATTTGACCCAGGTTTTAGACCACATCAACAGCTTAAGGTTTGAACAGTCAATAATACTATCGTATTCACGTTTCACAGAAAAAAAATAATCTAGAAATTCGTAGTTGAATCGATCCAGAGCGGTAAGTACAGTTTACAAAAATTAAGTACAAAATATGTTATTGATTCAAGTGCGGATTCATTAAGTACGAAAAACGTAATGTAAGCCTTATTTGGATGGATAATATATGTAATTATTTTGAGAATTTTAGGTTTGATTTAAGCTCGAAAACATATTTGATTTTAGTATGAAAATAAAATTGATTTAAAAATGTAAAAGATATTATTAATACCAAAATGCACTTGATTTGAGACTGATTCGTACTTGATTTCAGAATTTATAAAATTTGACTAAAACCCAACCATTTATTGCAAAAGTACTCTTAACTAAATGAGAATTATGTTTATGTTAGAATGCCAATGATTGTATTATTGAATTAAGATGGAAATAAGATTGAATTATGTAAGAAATGGGATTGAATTAAGTATGAATTGAGATTAAAAAATATTCAAGTACAATTCACGTAAAACTACAGTTTCAGATTTAGTTAATGGGTCTATTATCGATAGCAAACGAACACCAGTTGAGTTGTCAGATGCCAAAATGACATTACAGTTGGCAACCGACAGCTGCAAATTTCAGTTGCCAAATTGGAACTAGAAATTTGTGGTTGTTAAGATGTTTTTTTTAAATAAATGTGTTGAATTTTGTAAAAAAAAATAATATTTTATTATTAAATGTCGTTGATTTGATCATTCTTTTTTAATGGGTTTGTATATTTTTATTGTTTGTTTACATTTTTTAGTTGTTAGTCTGTCAAAATAACCACAGATGACAGAACATCGATAACTTTTTGACAACTAACGAAAGTTGCAGTTCATAATAACAAGATTTATGTCAGTTGCGTTGACTGCTGTCAACTCAACTGAAGTTTGGCTGCTATCCATAATCGACCCATAAAAAGTTTTTAATATCGATTTGCATTATCAATCCCTATGTCTAATTCTAAGTCCGACCCCATAGGTTATGTTAGGTTGGCGGTCATCATCGTATAAATAAGGAGTTATCTATATAAAGGAGTTATCATTCGGTTATCAACCTCTGTTAGATCCGTTAAGTCGTGCAAGAAATTGCTACCTTGCAGATTCAGTATATGATCTGCTTGGGCGGGGCAATGACGGAGAAAGTAAGTGATACTCTCTTCTTCCTCCAAATCATGGCAGTACCAGCAGAAGTTATTGGTCTTCTTGCATGGATCCCGAAGGGCCAGTCAGCACCGCCGTTAAGTTTCGTAGATTTACTCTCGGAACATGAAGAAGGGTTTGGGATCGTTGTGGGTGTCCACGTGATCCTTGCATTGAAAAACATTTATTGCGGCCCTGTATTCTATTAAAGGTTGTATTAATTGTTTATAAATAAAATTTATAAAATTTATACAATTAGTTGATGATCACCTTCATGCTTTTTATACTTGACTCATCCCTGTTGACCGTAGTGGCTTAGAAATGAACACGTGGTCTTTATCTTATTTTTACCTTAGATTAGAGAGGGCCCTAAGCACAGCCACCCTGTTTTGGATCCTTTGTGCAGCCCGTAGGTGTACCATAACATGTTTAAATGACGTATGAAAATAACGGGATTCATTGGTGAGTGCTTGAATATATCCTTCGAGGATAGTGATGCAGCACCTTAGATTCTTTCTCAACGAGTCCTTAGTGTTGGACACTTGCACAATATTTGTTCACAGGTTTCCTGCTGGCAGCCACAAAATGTGCATAGCTTCAATATGGCGTTACCTAGTATGAATTGATGATATTTGAGACCACAGTGTCCCGTGATAAGTCCCGTTAGTATTCTGAGAACACTTTTGTTAAGCGATAGCAACTTTTGCGATTTTCCCCTTAATGTCGTAATTAAGCGCTTTGTCTGTCTAAGCCCTGTTGTAGCTTACCAGTGACGCGCAAATTCCGATTCGACCCACGATTATTGTGATGGTATATTTCGATTTCGTCCTTCGGAGTACTGCATAGCAGAGATTGTTACGTTTTCTCCTCTTGGCTTCTTCGACATAAGATGGCGGCTCTTTTCCTTTACAATGCCTAACCTTTTCCACCCATTCGAGATTGATTTTTATTGCGTTGTCGCCTTCAACATAGCTTGCTTGCCTTTATCTCTCTGACACGTAGAATTCCAGCAAATAAACTGAACTAGATAAGTAGGGCAACCTGTTCCCATGAAACCTGAGACACTATTATCACATCTATACCCCTGTAAAGGGTCTACCACGATACTTTTATATAATTTGTATATCCTACACCACTATATTGGGGAGGGTATTATGAATTTGTGGTGATGTATACAACACTTAAAAATATTGGTCCTACACCCATCTTAGTTTTATATACATAAGTCCCCTTCAGAAAATGACTTGAAGGTCAAAATTAACGATGAACAAAAATCCCTCTACCAAAATTTATAACAATAAATTTTCTTATTTTCAAACAAATTTTCTTAAAATTTGTCTTCTAAATTTGTCTACAAACTATTTTGGTAAGTATCGTAAAGAAAATCGTTTCGCCTGAACATTTTATATAAACAATTACTATAAATTGAAATATTATTTCTTAATTTTACTACAATATGATCTTAATTACATCACAATCTGAACAAATTCTTTACTCAGTACATCTAAGCGAATGTTTGGGAGATCCTTTAAAGAGATAAGTACTATTTATAAAATTTTATGTACGTTTTATTAATTTGTAACAAAAAAAGATGCTGTAATTTTATAAAATATTGAATAGTATAACGAAATTCCAAAAGATATTCTAATATTAAATAAATATTAATTAATTTATCAATATTTTTACAGCATTAAATACTAATAAAATGTAAATCCATGGCATATAACTATGACTAAAACGACGACCATTGTGGCGTCAGATCAATCAACACAACAGGAACATCGATTGAAAAAAAAAAAAAAATAAAATTATTTAAATAATTTAAATTCTATTTTAATTATACACGGGCAGATCTTAATCAAACACTATGTCTGAGGACAAAGTCTATAAGGATGGTGATATAGTATGGGTTAAGTTGGGCAATAATTGGTGGCCGGGTGAGGTGACTGGACCAAATCGTCATCCGGAGGGTTTGATAAAACATTTGAAGCGTGTACCCTATTGTGTGGTTAAGTTTTTCAATGAAAATACATAGTAAGTATCTATTTAAATTATCTTTATTATGTTTTAGAGCTATTTAATTATATAAAGTACATTCATAGGACTTTGACTCTTATATCTAACTCTCTTTTTCAATAAATTTCAGTGAATATGTACGCAGTGGAAAACAAATATTTCCCTTTCAATGTGCAAAACAAGAAGAATTCATACGAAAGGGTTACTGTAAGTAAAACACTCCAATTCTATAAAGAACAAAAAATCTTCAATATATTCCTCACTTACAGCACTCTATAACAGTGGTAACTCCTTCATGGAAAAGTTTCCCAATGACGTGGAGGTTGCTAAGCGATTAACACGTCGTAAGGAAACACCTTTGATAATAAATGATCGACCAGATAGTATTGTTAAAGCGATATTGGGTCAACCGTTAATACGAACCTGTGATGATTACGATGATGGAACAGAATATAAAGAAAAACGGCGTAGTGGGGTTAGTATATAAACAAATAAAAATGAATATCGTCAAATTAAAATAGAAATTTTTTCCAACTTTTTAGGATTCAATAACAAAAATCTTGAATATAACACAAAACCATAACGAAGAGACTTTAAATAATAAAAAGCATGATGGCTCCCAAACAACGAGTACATCTTCGAGCCTACCTTCAAATAACACCAAAAATGTGACAAACACTTCTGCTTCTCTTAATACGAGTAATTACCAGTGTAATTTGTGCGATTTTACCAGTGTACGACAAAATGTCATGATCTTACATCGTAAAATGCACAGCAATAGAAATTCCTTGGGTTCTAGTAATACAACATCATCATCATCATTTTCATCATCCACAACAACTAATTCAAAATTAACACCAGCAACAGCAGGAGCTACAGTAGCTAAAGCAACAACGAATGTTAGTAATAATAGAAATCAAACGTCGCAACAAAGTGAAATTGTCCATAAGAACAAAACTAATAGTAAAACCAAAGCAAGTACAATCACAACGACGACTGCAACTACACGAGCAACTAGAACGCCTACAGCTCAAAAAGAAACAAATGCAACAGCAACACCTGTAACCAAAACCAGAGCTGTAATTGATAGCGTGGAAACTGCAATAACTCCCCCAACACCTACAGAAACAAATAACAGAATTACAGAGATACAAACAACCACTAGATCAGGAAGAACAAACAAATCGAAAACGGATAAAAAGGCAACCGTTAAAGAAAAGAAAGAAGAAAGTGCTTATAGTGCAATACTCTCCGATTTTTGTCCCAGTGATACAGAAATTCCTTCATCGCCAGAAGAAAAGCAGTCTAGACGTTCGTTGCGTCATTGTAAAAATTCAAGCGAAGATTCAACTACTAAAATAACTACTGTATGTATTGATTTATCAGAGTCCACAAAGACTATACAAAAAATACCCAAAAAGAGAGAATATTCCTCTTTACAGCTGCAAAAAGAAACTTCGGTTGAGATAGCGTCACCTATTGTAGTGTCAGATCCTGATGTTGTATGCTTGGCTGATAAAGAAGTTGAAACTGCTGCGACAACTACAACAACTTTACATTCTGCTAAACCCAAAAAGGATGCCGAAGAAATACGTAGAATGCTGCTGGAAGACTGGAGTGATGATGATGAAACTCCCAATGATACAATTGTTGTGGAGGACAGAAGTGTGGTGGAGAATAACGAGAATAATGAAAGCCTTTCAGAACCATCGACTGAGCAACACAACGCTTCTGTTGTTTCGATAACATCAACACCAGTTGCTAAAACACCTCCAGCTTCGGTCACGGGACGCATACGGAATATACCAAAAAAAGATCGACGTGATGTGGTGCTACAAGATTTCAACAGTGACTTATCACTTATACAAGCCGATAACGTCGTCCACAACACCAAATGTATGGCCCTCGATTTGGACAGTTCAAGCTCTTCAGTGGTTGAAATCATAGAAGATGAACAACCCTCCATTATCACCATAAACGATGATGAAGAACAAGAAAATTCGAAATCTAGAAAACAACAAACTGATGTCATTTTGAGCGAATCTAAAGAAAGTGATTCGGCTGTAGGCTTAATAAATGATAAATCTGCCTCGGCTGCTACTTCAACAACTACGTTATCGTGTTTTGATTTTCAGGAGGAGGAAGAAGAACAGGACACAACCACGCCTACAATATCACATTTCAAAAAGAAATACTTATCCGTGGAGAAATTACAAAATCTCTCCTCAACCAATAGTGAGGAATTAAGAGAAGATATGGCCAAGAGTCGAGCAGAGTTGGCGGAAAAAGATCAACGTTTAGCGGCGGAAATAGAATCGCTATTGGAGCAAACGCAACCACCGGTAGCGGATTTGTTAAACGCCAATAGTTTTGAAGAATCAATATCTGTTAAAGATTTGCCCATTAAAGAGAGAGGCAAGAGAATATTTAAATCGCGCAATAAGACACGTTTGGAGGAAAAAAGTAATACGGAAGTTGTGGCTATAACATCAGTAGATGCTAATCTGATAGCAGCTAACGCTACTATAGAACAGTACAAATCTTTAGACATCTCAAATCCTAATACTGAGGAAGAAATTAACACAGATAAAGAGGAAACAAATTTGCAGCAAAATTCTGAAAACACATCAGAAAACGAGCTTATAATAGTGACTGATCAAGACAACACGAACCGTGAAGAAAGTTCAGTTGATATCGTTAGCCAAGAAATTTTACAAAACTCTCATATTGAATTACCAAAGTATTTGGAAGATCAACAATTAGCACCAAATGAAAACAAAGAAAATGAGGATTTATCGGGAGGAAATAAAGACTCTTTAGAGGAGCCAAATGGTGACAATAATACAGCTGAATTTCGAAAGAAACAAATGGAAAATGATATTACTTTGGATAGCAACGAATTAGTACCGAATCCAACAGTAGAACAAAACGATGTTATGAGCAATCAAGAACAGTCCTCTATGCAGCTGTTAAATGGTGAAGATGTTACGGTAGAGCAACAAGACGTTGTAGAGGAGACAGAACTAGAGAATCATGCAGAGGAAAGCAATGAAAACAGTGCAGAGGTTATAGACATTAATGAATGCAATGAAGAAGTTAAGAAAAACGTTGAAAGCTTAACACCCGAAATCTCAGAGACTTTTGTGACAGAAGAATCAAACTCCAGCCAAGTAGATACAACAGAAAATGAGGTTAATGCAGAAATTTCTCAAATTGTTGAGCCATTACAAACCCCGCTAGAAGAAGATTCAGTCCAGGACTCTATTAGTGTAACAGAAACTCCAAACTCACCCAAAGTTATTGTAAATAATGAAAGTGAGCTTAAGGAGATAACAAAGCCTGCAATTGAAATAACTTCGGAGAACACCAAAGACGTTACTCAACAGCAAGGATCCGAAAACGTTTTTAAAATACGTGTAAAATCGCCAGATCAATTATTTGAACCAGCTTTTGTAAGTGACTCACAGCAGGAGCAGGAACTACAACCCACCATTGTAGATGGAAACATAGATACGCGTTTGATTACCACAACACCCACCGATGAAAATAGTAGCATGGGTGCTTCGGATACGGGAGCAGAATTTGGCTCACCTACTTCAATGCTGAGTGAAGAACGCCTACCTACTTTTCGCTTCCAAAGCAATCAAACACCTCAGCCGGAAATGGAAACAGTACAAAGAGAATTACAGGAAGATAGCTCACAGGAAGCTGTTCCAGAAGCTACTAATCTTGAGGTTGCAAAAACTGAACCAAATGAAGGAATAAAGGAAAACTTATTATACAAAGATGAAGCACACATCTTTGAAAAGTCTACACAAAAGTTGTTGCAGCAACGACGTTTTAGTATGGACTTGGATTCCCTACATACAGGACCAAAATCTATTAAACGCCCGCGTTTGAGTGTAGACGACAACACATTGAAAATTCAAAATACTTTTGAAAAGTCTCACGAAGAATTTATACCATTAACAATGTCTAAAGACAAAAGTGAAGTTAGAGTACGTCCCAAAAGCCGTCATGTGAAAATTACTCCACGACGTAATGTCAGTGAGCTATTTAAGTCACGTTCTTTGATGGATATAAATGACTCAAGAAATACCGAGAAATGTAGTTTGCTCGAAAGTGTTAAGGAAACCCAATCAATGGAAGATGTTGTTGAAACAATTGAAAAAGAGTTGGAAAATCATAAGGAGTGTGACAATAGTATAAGTAAAGAAAATTCAGAGGAAATGTTAAAAACTATAGTTGAGAAGGATAATTCTGAAGTAAAGCAACCTCAAAGTGATAATTCTAATTCGGAAAATTTCGATAAATCTGTTCCGAGTGGAAGCACTGAAAATCTTGATTTAATAATTGAAACCATTAAAGAAGTAAATGAAGAAAATCAAGAGAATCAAGAGAATGCTGAAAATGTTCAATTGAAACCAAAAACTACTACAGAAGAGACAATAGCTGTTCTAGAGAACATAGAAGAAAGTAATGTCCCCACAACAGATGTCAACGATGAAATAGAAGTTGAAAGCGCAACAACAGCTTATATTGAAAATAATAGTGCAATATGTGAAAATTCCAATAATGAGAATACAAATGAAATTAGTAAACCAGAAGCAGCTGAATCTCCTGAAGAAAATTGCAATAAGGAAATCCATTCTCAATTTTCTATGGAGTCTGATATTACCAACTCACAGGAAAATGAAACATCACACATTCCAAAGCCTAGAGAATCTACAGCTGAGAACATGTTAAAGGAATCTGAACCTGCAGAAGCTCCCTTAACCTTACTGGATACTACAGATAACAATACATCTACTCCAAGTATAACAAATTCAATCGATACGAATAAAACGCACAATGATCAAAAGTTAGAGAAACCTTTCTCTCCCGGCGTACCGCCAGCCACTCCCCAGGAGCGTGAAGTTGTAATAGAAAGTGAAAATCTAAGTCCGTTTAAAAATACCCAACTTCAAGCACAGATTGAATCGTTAAATGAGATTACAATACGTCCCCTAACCCCGAAAGTACAAGAGAAATTTAATGAATTAAACGTTTCTTCGTCCATAGCCGACGAAGAAGATTCACTTTTAAAAGAGGTAATCGCTCGACCTACAACTCCCAAAGAAAATGAGAAAATTGTACGACCCATAACACCCCAAGAAATTGAGCTTGTAAACCATCTTAGTCCTCGGCCTATAACACCGCAGCAAAGTGAAACTTTAGAGAAGACACATTCAGCAACTCCACAAGAAACAGAATCAGAAATCGAAACCCGTTTTCAATCAATCACAAACCCAGAAACAGAAAATCTTAACGAGACAAAACTTCAAACAGCAACAATCGAAGAAACGACGGCCGAACCTATTATCGCCTGTGAAACATTCGATAAACTAATAAATCCTCCACACGCTCATGGCATGACAGTTGATTTTGAAAATAACATAGCAATGCCCTGCACTCCGCTGGAAAACTATATAGAAGAGGAAATTGAAAATCCCATGCAAACACCTTTAACGCCGCAAGCTAAAGATCTAATTATTGAATGTGAACCCTTAACACCGCAGGGTATTATTGAATGTGATCACAATATACCCGCTCAGATAACGCCCGAAAAAGAGGTCATCGTTGAAAGTGACGTTGTTTTGTCAACGCCGCCCCCAGTAATCCAAGACAAGGATATAATTATTGAAGATAATCTGCAACTGGAGGAAAAAGATACACTTTTAGAAAGAGAATTTCAAGTGGTGCATCCTAAAGAAATGCCTCTACCAGCAGATGTTGCACAGTCCCCTACTTTGCAAACAGATGCCGACAAGGCGGCCGAAGAATTTCTTATTGAATTCGATAGTATTGTCAATCACAGTCATTCGGTGGAAGAGGATGTTAATCATAGTACTATAGGCGAAGCCGTAAATGCCGATGATCTTATTAACAATATCATAGAGGAAGTTCATGAGGACCAACCACTCAAAGAGGAAGTACCAACGACTAGCGAAGCATCTTTACAATATGAGCCCATGACAACCTACACAGTGGTGGCTAAAAACTCTTGGAATCAAATATTTAAAGAATCCTTTAATAGGCAATTGCCACCCGCCAAAAGGCGTCAAACCATATGTTTTGAAATTTCCGATACTAAGGAGGGAGTGGCGTGCAAAAAACAAGCATTAGATTTTGAATCTATTCTTCCCGTAAGCAAAACCGTAAAACGTACCGCAGAGCGTAAACTAACATTACCCGCCATTGAGACTAAACTGTCGAATAGTCAACAACAGCATAATATTTTAGCTTTAAATCATAATCAATTAACTCTCAACAAGAAAATAATCCCAACAACCAAACGAAAATTATCGATTGAAGATAACATTACATCCTTTATAATTGAACGACCAAAGCAAACACAGCAACAATCAACAACAGCAGTTGGACCACCGCCATTACAAAGGATAAGACCTTTGAATAGACAGGGTCAAACAAGTTCTAAAGCTAACGCAGAAAGTTTTTCTGAGCCACCACCATTACAAAGTCATGATCATTTATTCAACGAGTTATTCCAAACGGTAAGTGATTATTTTGTATAATCTTATTTACTTACATACTTACTTACTTACTTACTTACTTACTGACTGACTGACTGACTGACTGACTTACTTACTTGCTTGCTTGCTTACTTACTTACTTACTTACTTACTTACTTACTTACTTACTTACTTACTTACTTACTTACTTACTTACTTACTTACTTACTTACTTACTTACTTACTTACTTACTTACTTACTTACTTACTTACTTACTTACTTACTTACTTACTTACTTACTTACTTACTTACTTACTTACTTACTTACTTACTTACTTACTTACTTACTTACTACTTACTTACTTACTTACTTACTTACTTACTTACTTACTTACTTACTTACTTACTTACTTACTTACTTACTTACTTACTTACTTACTTACTTACTTACTTACTTACTTACTTACTTACTTACTTACTTACTTACTTACTTACTTACTTACTTACTTCTTACTTACTTACTTACTTACTTACTTACTTACTTACTTACTTACTTACTTACTTACTTACTTACTTACTTACTTACTTACTTACTTACTTACTTACTTACTTACTTACTTACTTACTTACTTACTTAACTTACTTACTTACTTACTTACTACTTACTATTACTTACTTACTACTTAACTTCACTTACTTACTTACTTACTTACTTACTTACTTACTTACTTAACTTACTTACTTGCCTTACTTACTACTTACTTACTTACTTATTACTTACTTTCTTTACTACGTACTTACTTACTTACTTACTTCTTATTACTTACTACTTGCTTAACTTACTTTACTTACTTACTTACTTAATTAAGTACGTACTTCCCTTTTTTAGTAATTATTCATAATTCAAGGACCCACTAAGCCTCACGGCTTGTCAGCAGCCGTATGGCTTCACTTACTTACTATTTTACATCTTTCTTTTTACAGGAATCCTCATCACCTACTCCATGTTCCGACTTAAACCAAAAACCTGATAAAGCACGAATTATAAATCAACAAATTCTAAGCTCTCCTGCCATTTCCTCTGTATCCCAAGCCAAGCCATCTGATACAAAAATTTCTAAAAATAAACAAATTGGAGTAGATTCACGGGGAAATAAGTATGTCATAATTAAAACGCCACCAACCGATATTATCGTTCAACCAACCCTAACGTCATCGACAGCTGCTGCGGTAACAGCTACTAATAATTTTGGCACAACTATAACAATTCAGCCATTACCACGTTCCAGCAGCGAGGCTATAGTAACAAAAACCACAACAAAAAATAAAAATGTCTCTGCAGCAGCAACCACATCTCGCAAACAACAGCAACAACATATGAAACAAATTTCTATAACTGTGCCAGCAAAATCTCCCCTAGAAATTACAAAATCATTAGAAGCAGTTGTAAAAACTCCACCACGTAATAAACGGAAAACAGCACATGCTAAAGCGGTGGCAGCAACTGCTACGGCTAATAGTAACATAAATAGTGCCAAACATAGGCAGGCAATGGAGGCATTAAGTAGACGTTTAAGTATTGCTGCCGAGGCACCTCCCCTATCTAAAATATCGCGAACGGCAACGACCCACGTACAAACACAAATAACAAATAGTAATAATAACAATAGTAATCTAGCAACATTTTTTGCAACTTCCGATCCTCAAATCTCTAACATAGCTCAGCAACAATTAATGCAGTTGCAACAACAGCAGCAGCAACAACAGCAAACATCAACATTACCGCCTCCAATTATTTTAAATAAAAATGCCCATCAACATTCGGCTTTACAGCGTAAACCACGTAAAACTCCTCAGCAACTATTACAACAACAGCAGCAGCAACAACAACAAGCTATTGCCGCAAAATCATCACAATTAATACAACAGTTACAACAACAACAACATCAAAATCAATTACAGCAGCAGCAACAACAACAGCATCAACAAATTCAACAACATTTTATTACACAAATAACAGCAGCGCACCAACCGCAACACCAAATACATTACAACCACCACCGCTGCCAACAAATTCAACAACCAAACAGCACCAGTTCAACAGCATCAACAACAAATAGTACAACCAAATGATGGAATTATTATAACAACAACCGCCACAGAAGATGTAAGTTGGTAGATAGATAGGTAGATAGATAGATAGATAGATAGATAATAGATTAGATAGATAGATAGATAGATAGATAGATAGATAGATAGATAGATAGATAGATAGATAGATAGATAGATAGATAGATAGATAGATAGATAGATAGATAGATAGATAGATAGATAGATAGATAGATAGATAGATAGATAGATAGATAGATAGATAGATAGATAGATAGTAGATAGATAGAAGATAGATAGATAGATAGATAGAAGATAGATAGATAGATAGATAGATAGATAGATAGATAGATAGATAGATAGATAGATAGATAGATAGATAGATAGATAGATAGATAGATAGATAGATAGATAGATAGATAGATAGATAGATAGATAGATAGATAGATAGATAGATAGATAGATGATAGATAGATAGTAGATAGATAGATAGATAGATAGATAGATAGATAGATAGATAGATAGATAGATAGATAGATAGATAGATAGATAGATAGATCGATAGATAGTAATAGATAGATAGATAGATAGATAGATAGATAGCTAGATAGATAGATAGATAGATAGATAGATAGATAGATAGATAGATAGATAGATAGCTAGATAGATAGAAGATAGATAGATAGATAGTAGATAGATAGATAGATAGATAGATAGATAGATAGATAGATAGAAGATAGATAGATAGATAGATAGATAGATAGATAGATAGATAGATAGATACTAGATAGATAGATAGATAGATAGATAGATAGATAGATAGAAGATAGATAGATAGATAGATAGATAGATAGATAGATGATAGATAGATAGATAGATAGATAGATAGATAGATAGATAGATAGATAGATAGATAGATAGATAGATAGATAGATAGATAGATAGATAGATAGATAGATAGATAGATAGATATGATAGATAGATAGATAGATAGATAGATAGATAGATAGATAGATAGATAGATAGATAGATAGATAGATAGATAGATAGATAGATAGATAGATAGATAGATAGATAGATAGATAGATAGATAGATAGATAGAAAGATAGATAGATAGATAGATAGATAGATAGATAGATAGATAGATAGATAGATAGATAGATAGATAGATAGATTAGATAGTAGATAGATAGATAGATAGATAGATAGATAGATAGATAGATAGATAGATAGATAGATAGATAGATAGATAGATAGATAGATAGATAGATAGATAGATAGATAGATAGATAGATAGATAGATAGATAGATAGATAGATAGATAGATAGATAGATAGATAGATAGATAGATAGATAGATAGATAGATAGATAGATAGATAGATAGATAGATAGATAGTAGATAGATAGATAGATAGATAGATAGATAGATAGATAGATAGATAGATAGATAGATAGATAGATAGATAGATAGATAGATAGATAGATAGATAGATAGATAGATAGATAGATAGATAGATAGATAGATAGATAGATAGATAGATAGATAGATAGATAGATAGATAGATAGATAGATAGATAGATAGATAGATAGATACATAGATAGATACATAGATAGGTACCTAGATAGATAGATAGATAGATAGATAGATAGATAGATAGATAGATAGATAGATAGATAGATAGATAGATAGATGATAGATAGATAGATAGATAGATAGATAGATAGATAGATAGATAGATAGATAGATAGATAGATAGTAGATAGATAGATAGATAGATAGCATTTCTAAATTTCTAAAATTATTCCTTTCTTCTTTTTTCTTTTAGGACAATGTCATCGATTCGAATACCCAGCTCATAGCACTACCAACACAGCCCTATCCCGGTTACTCAGAAACCTTTTTACTATGCAAAGTTAAGGGTAATACCTGCAAGCCCGTCGATAACGTACCGCTTTATTTGAATCATCAGTTAAATGAACTAGTCCCAGTACCCTTGGAAGCCTTAGAAGGTGGTGGACACAAACCGCAAGAGCATCAAATCGAGATAAAAGCCACAAACGCACCACAACAACTGTTGGCAGGCCAAAACACTAATACGGGACAAGACAGTGAGAATAATTTACAAATGTCAAATTTGAATTGTAATATAATGGAAGGTGAGATTTCAGCTGGTATTGAGGCGGAACATCATCAGTTGCAACAGCATCATCAGCAGCAACAACACCATCACCAGCAACAACAACACATAATGGAAGAATGTGCTGTAGATGAAAATATTGCGAATGCTAGCAATAATCAAATTAGAGATTTTGGTGGTAGTGAAGAGGTTAATCCTGATTTAATATCAAACAATGGCATTCTTTTAAATATAGAAGGTCAACAGGTTCTGCTGGATGCTGCTACATTTGCCCATTTACTGGCCAATCCAGATGCTAATACTCAATTGATATCTGATGATGGTACAGAGTATGTCTTGACGCATGAAGTGTTGGCTGCATTGCAAATGCAGCAGGAACAGCAACAGGCCTTGGAACTGGCTAATGCAAATGCTGCAGCTGCTCAACAACAGCAGCAGCATCAGCACCAACAACATCAACACTTGGAGGCAAGGGAAACAAGTGATATAATTGCTGTTGCTTTAGCTGGCTCCGAATTATATGACAGCGATGTACTTTCAATAGATACTTCACAAGGCATGCAACTAATTGATGGCAATGGCAGCATAGTATTTCCAGCCCAAACAGGTGCTATAACACAACAACATTTAACCCCACCAGCCGTAGTCACAAACGCCGTATTAGACCAATCGCCCATTATGTCTACACTGGAAGTACCCTCTTCCATAGCGACCGCTCACAAACTGCATGGTACCCAACTGATTACCGTGCCCTCCCATCACTTGACCACCTCCGCCAATGCAGCCTTGGGTGGTCGTTCTAATTTAGAAGATAGTCTAGCAGCCATTGGTGTTACCGCCTCTTCGACTATACCTTCCTCATTAGGTTTACCCATCACCGTTACCAATCCAAATATAGCATCAAAAGTAACATCGGCTGGTCCACTTAATGAAATGTTACAATTTGTCTCACATCGTCCGGCCACAGCGGCTGCTACTGCAGCTGCCGTAGCAGCCGCAGCATTAGCGGGCGAATCACGTATATTCACCGATTAGGTTTTACTCAACGAGGATGAGGTGGATTTATACGATACAATAGTTGACACACACTATGAAACTTTTTAAGGTTAACATGCAACGTGTGTGTGTTTGTGTCAGCTTTTAATTCATAGATTTGTTGTTTAACAACAGATTTTTAACCAACAAAAAAAAAAAAAAGAAAAACCGAAAATTATGAAAATTAAGTTGTTTAGCTTTAAGATGAATATTAATGTAAGTGCATGAAAACAGTTATATTCTCATGAGTTGTAGGGTTCATTCTTGGAGTAATTCGGAAAATTGGAAAGAAGGCCCGAAACTAAAATAAGTTTGTTTTTGTTTTGCGTAAAGTTGGTTTTATTCTTTAGCAGCTAAGTTTAGCTGCAAAATTGTACAAATACACTCAACTTTTTGGGCATATTTACAATACCAATTGGCAATGATTTTTAGGCTTGCAAATTTAATTATTTGTAAAATTGGTTAAAACAAAGCTTTCTTATCTTAAAACATATATACAACTTTAGCGGCTTGGTTTTTTGGCGGTATATTTGCAAGTTTGGTTAATTTTTTATGGTTTTTGTTAAAATTTTTAAATAATCTTTTCAATAATTTTGCAAAATCATTATTTATGGTTTTTGTTTTATATTTACAAGGCTGTTATCATTTTTTTGCAAAAACGTTTAGACAATCTTTTAAATTTTAATCTTGTATTGATTTTAAATATTCTAGGGCTTTTGGTTTGGTATATTTACCATACCATTTAACCAGGGTTTTGAGTCTTGTAAGTTTGTCAATTGTGTTAAATAGCTTTTGCTATTATAGTATTTAATTTTTTTTTTAATTTAATTACACGTTTTTTTTTAAGAATTTAAAGAAATTTTAGATTTGGATTACATTTCTTATGTTTTCAAGGTTTGCAAGACTATAAACTATATCGATTGTAATATTGTCTTAAAACCTTTTGCTGATTTCTCATAATTTCCAATAACCACTATAAATATCAAACACTTTTTGCAGAGAAAAATATTTAACTAAGAGCGGGTTTTTCGGATAAAGTTAAAAATTCATTGTTTAAACCTAGTTTAATCTATATTTTGTGTGTTTTCAGTAATCAGTTACGTTACTTATTATCTTAGTTTAACTGTGGGTTATTGGCCAATTAAACCAATTAAAGTTATGAGTGAGAAAACAAAATTAACAAAAACAATAAAATAATTAATACGGAAGAAGAAAAACTTAATTTTTTAAATTAATAGCAATTTTATGATTTGTTTTATCAATATTAATATTGTTTTAAATGTTTATATTAATTTTGTCTAAAATTTTTCATTTTACAAAAGTAAAAACAGCTGTTCTTTGTTTACGTTTTTATGAAAAGTTGGCAATACTAACAAAGTTAACTGCAATTAACAACAAAATTAAATCCATAACTGAAAAACACGATCATCTGTGAAAATTCGCCTAAATTTGTTCCAAGTTTAAAAGAATGAACCCTTAATTTAAAAGAAAAAATCTTAAAAATTAAAATGAAATAATAAAATTAATTGTAAGTTGTATATTTGATTTTTTCATCTATAATGAATGTTATCATATAGCATTGTCCCTCCCTTCTTTTTTCACTAATTTTATTATATTTTAATAAAAAAGTCCCCCATAAATACATATTTTAATTAATACCAAGGAAAAACAAAAAAAAAAAAAAAAAAAAAAGAATACACAACTTTATAACTATAAGACTCTAGTTTATAGAACAATTAAATATAAAAAGAAAAAACAAATCATGAAATTTTAATTACATTTAAAATGTATAATTCTTGCAAAAATAAACATTATTTTTTATATATAAAATTAGAGCAAAAGAAAAAAAAAACCTAAAAACTAATTGTAAATTATTAATAATCAAAATAAATTAAAGCAAAATTATGTAGTAAAGCCTTAATATATAAAAATCTACTAAAATAAAATAAAAAAAAACAAAAACAATTAAATTACATACTCCCCTTTAGTTAAGCAAAAAAAATATAATATTTAATGTCAAAAACTATATATTATGTAATAAAATAAAAAAAATCAACAAAAAAAATAATATGTGTGTAACATCAGTTATATTTTAATTTAAAGAAATTTTTATTTTATTTAATTTTATATTGAAAAAAAAAAATACGATTAACATGCATGGTTTCCTTTGGCCCAGAATTTTGTTAAAAAATATATATTTTTTTACATTTAAATACAACATTTTATGAAGAGAAAGCAAAAGAAAATTCATCTATTATTCTAAGCAATTTTGATCTTTTCTGTCGTTTACTATTTTTTGTTTCTGATAAAGTTAACGAACGATAAATAAATATTAAATAAATAATTATTATACATACATGAGTTTATTTTTTAATATACATGTTTACTATATACATATATAAAGTGTGTTGTTTATTTTAAGGAAATTAATTCCTGAGGACTCGGAATGTTTTATTTTACTCCTCTGTGTTCAAAATTATAGAAAAATCAAAAAGTACCAGTTGACGGACGAAAAAGTACCAATTTTACAGATTATTATTTACTTAGAACTATGCAGGCTTGATTTCATTATAGAAAACTCAAAAAGTACCAGTTGCAGAACGAAAAAGTACCAAAAAATAGTTGGTACTCCTGCCAAGTTACACTACATTACCAAATTTAGTGTTAACAAATCTAGCAATTTTAAAATTTTATCAAAATTGGCTCAATTAGTTGGTACTTTTTTTTAAGACTAAAAATTTCATTCCAAACTATCCTACAGGAAGTCTATCAATAAGTAGGAAACAATGTTTAAGCACCAAAAATAGGTACAATTTTTAACCTCTATTGGTCCGAATATCCAAAAAGTACTAAATTTGAATTTTTATTTTTTCAATAAGTTATGAATGATTTAAACATTTATGTGTATGGGGTCATTGGCTTAAAACATAGGTGGGGTACAAAAATGTACCAAAACTGTGTTTTTAACCCATTACTCCCTAAAAGAATGAAATTAAAAAAAAAACACCAGTTACGTTTCCCTTTTTCAAATAAACAATGATAAGCTTTAAATTGTTTTTATATCTTTATAGATTAGAAGATATATGGCTACCAAATTTATCATTTTTACATTCGAGTTTCTAAAAAATCCCGTCTTAGTGGCACCATTTGGAGGGAGATCGATCCTTAATTTTTAGCTTCAACATTACTTTAGTACATTTTGATATTGAAAAAATACCGTAGTACATATAAGCTTTTGATACGCTGTTCACATAATTGTCCGTAGACCACTCTGTGGTCTAGTCTAGTCTATAGTGTAATCTATAGTGTTGTCTATAGTATTGTCTAAAGTTTAGTCTATAGTCTAGTGTATAGTCTAGTCTATAATCTAGTGTATAGCTTAGTCTAAAGTGTTGTCAATAGTCTAGTCTGAACTCAAGTTTGTAGTCTAGTCTATAGTGTTGTCTACTATAGTATTGTCTATAGTCTAGCCTATAGTCTAGTGTATAGTCTAGTCTATAGTATTGTCTAAAGTCTGGTCTACAGTCTAGTCTATAGACTAGTCTAGTCTATAGATTAGTCTACAGTCTAGTCAATAGATTAGTCTATAGTCTAGTCTATAGATTAGTCTATAGTCTAGTCAATAGATTAGTCTATAGTCTAGTCTATAGATTAGTCTATAGTCTATTCTATAGATTAGCCTATAGTCTAGTCTATAGATTAGTCTATAGTCAAGTCTAATCAAGTCTAACGGAAAATTAGTTTAATACTTTAAAACTTAAAAGGTACATTTTTATGTCAAAATTTAAATTTTCCATCCCTGGCTTCAATCGTTTAGGCTATTTGGATGTTTTTCTACAGCCGTTTTAAAAAATAAGATTAAAGAAATTTGAGATAACAAATGTGATGTTATGAACTAGTCCAACAAACTGAACTTTTTGTAATTCTGTTACACCGCATTATCCAGACCTGACAGACTTTCAAATAAATTAAAACAATTAGTTTTCTTCTGTTTGGTTGTTTTTTTAATGTTTATTTTATATATATTTTTTCTCAACAATATTTTTTGTTTTGTATATGACAACTTTATTTATGGTTTATTAAGTTTTTATCTAATATGCGCGATAATTATTGTTACGTTAGATTTCAGTTACAAGAAACTATTTTTCCTTATATTTTTTCATTACTATTCATATAAATAACGAAAAAAAAAACAATCTTTTTGAGATAAATGGCAGAGGAAAAATGGGAAAAAACAAGAGAAATTAATATTAAATCAAACAAGGAACAAGTTACATAAATAAATAGTTAAAATTAACGTTGTTTTGAAAATAAAACTATTTTAAAAATAATAATAATTACAAATAAAATAATACGGCAAAGGAGGGATAATGGTTAGTTTAATTAATTAAATTTTTGAAAAATACAAACATTTTAAATGTAGGTATAAATTAATTTTGAATTCTTTTTTTAAACGTTTCAATTAATTAAGTATTCGAACGTACAATACTATCCGTTGTGATTTTTTTTTCATATTTTTACTTTTTTCCTTAAAGAGTTTAATAATGTGTATATAACAACCACACACATTACAATTATAAAGCGTTGCTAGTAAGTGCGTAAGTGTGGGATGAGGTGTTTAAATATTTTGGTTTGTGAGTGGATTTGGTGGCAGCAAACATAGGTAAATTAATAAATTTACAGTTTGGCACAAATTTCATTTGTGAATTCGGAACATTTGGCTTTGCCACCCAAATCGCCAGTCAAATATTTGCCCTCCTTGATGACTTCGAAGCAAGCATTTTGGATTTTATCGGCATGAGTGTTGAGTTCCATGTGTCTCAACATCATAACGGCAGACAACAATAAGGCAGTGGGGTTGGCCAAATCTTTGCCAGCAATATCGGGGGCAGTGCCGTGAACCTGCAAGTTAATTGAAATAATTAAACAAATTAAACATTAAGTGTTACAAAAGTAAAACTTACGGATTCAAAGAGGGCACCGTTGAGACCCATGTTACCGGAGGGTGTCAAACCCAAACCACCAACCAAACCGGCGCACATATCAGACAAAATATCACCATACAAGTTAGGCATGACCTGTAATTAAGTTAATTAATACAAAATCATATAAATATTCATGAAGATCCTTACCAAGACATCATATTTATTGGGATCTTGTACCATATTCAAGCACACGGTATCCAAATAACGTTCCTCGAATTGAATTTCAGGGAATTTTTCAGCCATATCACGTACACAACGCAAGAACAAACCATCAGACATACGCATAATATTAGCTTTGTGCACAACGGTGACCTTCTTTCTGTTATTGTTTTTGGCATAGGTGAAGGCATATTCAGCAACACGCTTCGAGGCTTCCTCGGTAATCAATTTGATACTCTGTACAACACCATCGACAATTTCGTGTTCAATGCCGGAGTATTCACCTTCAGTGTTCTCACGAATGGTAACAACATCAACATTATCGTATAAGGTCTTGTAGCCTTCCAAACTTCTGCATGGTCTTACGTTGGCATACAAGTTGAATTCCTTACGGAGAGCCAAATTCAAAGAACGATGACCCTTGCCGACGGGTGTCATCAAGGGGCCCTTCAAACCGATTTTATTTGTGTTGACCGAATCAATGGCAGCCTGAGGAATACCGAACTTACCATCAGGTCCCTGAGGGCGAAGAATATATTGAGAATAAACTTGAATTTAAACGATTACATTTTAGGATTTTTACTTACTCTAACGGGTGTTACATCAACAGCTTCCCATTCAATGGGTACACCGGCAGCGGTAAAGATTTTCTGCACAGCAGCGGAAATTTCAGGACCAATACCATCACCGGGAATGAGAGTGACTTTACGGGTACCCGAAGAGTAGGCACGTCCAGAAACGGGAGTTGTGTTAACCTGTAATATTTAAAAAAAGTGTGTTGTTTTTTGTTATATTTCTTTTAATGTTTAAGGTTGTTAGTATTAGATAGTGGAACCAATTGCTTTAAATGAATTGAAATTGTATGAGTGGTTAGCAAACGTATATATACAGTCCTAGATATTAGGCAATCAATCAATCAATCAGTCAATTAAAGACTTCAAAAATAAAAAAAAGGCTTTTTAGGAAAGATTTATTTTTTTAATTCAAACATTTTGATTGCAGCATCTATGTATATTAGATCAACTGACTCTATATGAGAAGCATTTTTTGATATTTGTTTAATGATGTAAATATTTTTAGTTTATGAACTGGACAAATTCCAAAAAGTGCGATAAATTTGTGCCAAGACGAACAGAAAGAAAATAGGGCGACTTATAAGTTAATGGTATATCTATTCTCAATTATATGTATATTAATTTCTTTTCTCAGTAAGATACAGATACTTTGGGCGTCATGAAATAACTCCCCAAAACAAAAATGAAATAACTCCCTAAAAAATTGTTCAGAAAGCAAAAACAATGAAATTTGGGGATTTAATTCGTTTTTTGGGGCATTATTTCACATTTAAAATGGGGACTTCTTTCATTATGAAATAATTCCTCAAAATTCAAAAATGAAATAAATCCCTAAAAATATTTTTGGGGAGTTATTTCATTATATTACTTTTATCACACGAAATAAAAAATATATGTCTGATAGACGGCCTTCGGCCGGGCGCAAGGTTTTTATCCTCTGGGGTACATTGGACACCGGCTTTACTAAGAATACACCCTGTATCAAAAGTGTTCGGCCTTAGGGCGGCTATTTAGGAAATCTTAACTAAGCGAAGTCGGGATTAAACTGAAATGTATTAAACCTTGAAGCACTACTCGAAAGTATGAGCGACCTACTTTTTTTAGAAATGTCACTAAAACCAACTTGTTCCATAATTTGTTATTTTTAAATGGAAACTTATTTCATTTTAAAATTAGGAATTTGTTTCATATGAAATAATCCCCAAAAATGGGGTGTTATTTCATTTTAATTTAGGAAGTTGGGCCTTTTTTTCATTTTTAAATTGGGGAATTATTTCATAATGAAATAAGTCCGCAAATTTGAGGACTTATTTCATTTTTGTTTTGGGGAGTTATTTCATGCCGCCATACCTTGTAATAGATTACATTATAATGTAGTCAATAGTTTAGCCTACAGTTTAGTCTATAACCTAGTCTATAATCTAGCCTATAGTCTAGTCTATAGTCTAGTCTATAGTCTAGTCTATAGTCTAGTCTATAGTCCAGTCTATAGTCTAGTCTATAGTCTAGCCTATAGGCTAGTCTATAGTCTAGCCTATAGGCTAGTCTATAGTCTAGCCTATAGGCTAGTCTATAGTCAAGTATATAGTCAAGTATATAGTCTAGTATATAGTCTAGTCTAGTCTATAGTCTATTTTATACTCTAGTCTATAGTTTAGTTTATAGTCTAGTCTAGTCAATAGTCTAGTCTATAGTTTAGTCTATAGTCTAATCTATATTCTAGTCTACAGTCTAGTCTATATTCTAGTCTACAGTCTAGTCTATATTCTAGTCTACAGTCTAGTCTATAGTCTAGTCTATACTCTAGTCTATAGTCTAGTCTATAGTCTAGTCTATAGTCTAGTCTATAGTCTAGTCTATAGTCTAGTCTATAGTCTAGTCTATAGTCTAGTCTATAGTCTAGTCTATAGTCTAGTCTATAGTCTAGTCTATAGTCTAGTCTATAGTCTAGTCTATAGTCTAGTCTATAGTCTAGTCTATAGTCTAGTCTATAGTCTAGTCTATAGTCTAGTCTATAGTCTAGTCTATAGTCTAGTCTATAGTCTAGTCTATAGTCTAGTCTTTAGTCTAGTCTATAGTCTAGTCTATAGTCTAGTCTATAGTCTAGTCTATAGTCTAGTCTATAGTCTAGTCTATAGTCTAGTCTATAGTCTAGTCTATAGTCTAATCTATAGATTAATCTATAGCCTAGTTTATAGTGTAGTCTATAGTCTAGTCTTAGTCTATTCTATAGTCTAGTCTATAGTCTAGTCTATATTCTAGTCTATAGTCTAGTCTATATTCTAGTCTATAGTCTAGTCTATAGTCTAGTCTTCGCGGGGAGTTAGTCTATAGTCTAGTATATAGTTTAGTCTATATTATAGTTTTTAGCCTAGTCTATAGACTAGTCTATAGTCTTGTCTATAGTCTAGTCTTTAGTCTAGTCTACAAAAGTTTTTTTTTTTTTTTAACTCCAACGATTTTCTTGATACTTTAAAATATTGCCCTGTATGACTGAAATCAAAAATTCTCTACATCTATTTTCTTGATTCAAGTTTCTGGTCTTCCCCTATCAAAAATCCCAGTGGATACAAATTCCCAAGAATTAATAAATAAAACTTTTATCATTCTACTCGGAAATGGTGAGATTCTCTGAATAATTACATCTCATATAAATAAAAACTATAACAATGTTTTCAAAATAGGTACCTACTACCAGTTAGTGTTCAAAACCTATAATTAAAATAATTTTTACAAGCTATAAACATATAGACGAATAAATTATAGATCGTGCATAAAAAAACATATTTGAATTTTATTACTATACTCGCAAGTCACACGAAACCTATAAAAACAAATTAATTAAACAAATTACTAATGCAAACAATTGCAAATTGATCGTAGCAAATTGTGCTACTGAAAAGTAATACATCCAGTGAGCCAGCTGTCTATGCTAGACTAATTGAAACACTTTCAGTGTAAAAAAATTAAAAACAAAAAACACAGACAAAATTACATAAGAAATTAAGAACGCACAAAAACCAAAAGGAACAAAACAATAAAATTTATTTTAATTAATTAGAAAAAATGTAAGAAAATATATAAAGCCCTAATAACAAATTAACAATTATTTAATAACTCATATGGGAGGCAGTTTTTTTGCACAAAATGTTAAAACAAAAATGAGGTTAAGAATTTTTTTTTTTAATTATTAAAAACCTCAAAAACTGATAAACAAATTTTTAAAAATAACTCATAATTTTGGAAAAAAATATATGCATGAATGTTTTTTTAAAACGCATTATAATTTCTGAAACAAATTTGCTGTAGAAAAATTGTGCTAAATTAGCAGATTTTTTTCTTTTCTTCGGCGAGTGGTTATGTAAAAATTTTGACAGCAACCGCAAGCAGAGACTCTTATGGCGAAAAAATTTTCAAATGTTAACCATTAGAATCAATTTTTGCGTTTGCTTTTTAAAAACACTACTTTTTGGAACCGTTTTTTACTAAACAGACTCCTCTATTAGTACCTTGGCATGATTGGCCACTTCTACAGATTCCCGGCCGCCATTTAATCCAATACTTTTTTAACTAAAATTAAAGCAAAAAAGAACAAAAAAGGAAAAACTTCTTGGGATGTAGTGGTTGTGTTGGTAGGTAGATTGGGAGATGTGTTAAGTAAGCTTTAAAAGTTAGTTGTCTTTTTTTTAATTATATTTAACACCAGTTTTCTTTTGGCTATGAAACATTCAATGGCAATTTTATATTTAGCTTACAATCTTTTGAATTAATCTTGCTGCCATGATTTTTGTTGATTTTTTCCGTTGGATTTATGCAATTTTCTTATATTTTTCACAAATTATATTTTTCACCGCACACACACACGTCCGGATTCCGTTTTTGCCACTCGATTCGAGAGCCCAGAGACCTGCGCCGACAAATATTAACGGCATCGGCGACTGACACTAAATATGTCGGCGGCGGCTTAAAATCGATTGTAAGCCGGCTAAGTTTTCAACTACGTTTAGTTTTTAAATTTTCAACGATTTTAAATAAAACCGGAATCCGAGATATCAGAAATTGGGATTTTGGAAGCAAATATATTGCTTATAACAACAAAACAGAGCAAGCTCAAAAGTTGTGCGAGAAATTATGCAGGGATGAATAAAAAAAAATCTTAAAAATTAAAAACAAATCCTTTCTCCAAGTTTTACGAGGATCGGCCGATATTTAACCCTATCCTCCATATAAAACATCTTGCAGAAAATCAGTTTGTAAAAAATTTTGCATTAAGAAAATGATCAATAACGTAAAAACAAGGATATTTTATTTATTTATTTGCTAGCTATACCCAGTTGGCTTGGCTACCCTAAAAGCAATATAAATAAGAAACCCACTTAAAGATTTTGATGATTCTAACTGCAATGGTTTTCCAGATATACAATTTGTTACATATGGGAGATTCCACGCAAATTATTGCAATTTCGCCAATTATTCCGAACGTTAATTAAGATTTTAATTTAATCTATGAAAAATTTTAATAATCTAATAGTTTCCCAGATATACAAAATTTTGTATTTAATTCATATGGGAAGTGCCATGCCCCCCATTGAAAGTACGCCCGTTATTCTCTAAATGTTCTTCAGTTAAATTTAAAGATTCTAGCTCTAATAGTTTTTCAGATAAACGAATTTTTGTATTTAATTCATATGGGAGGTTCCGCCCATTGGTAGTCCCCCAATTTATTACCCAAAATGTTTACATGGATGTTGAAGTTCTACCTGAACTTAAAAAAAGCAAATTTCGAAAGTGGTCATACATCATACATATATATGGACTTTGATCAGCGTATAATAAAGTTGAAATTTTAAAGTGAAAATTTATAGTACTTGACTAGCAGATTCTATATACATACATACGTATGTATGTAATTCTTTTTAAATCAGAACAAAAGCCAAAAATGTGATTATTTTAAAAATTTTACATTTCAGAATTGTCTAATTTATTAATCAAAATTCAACACTTAAACTCGACAACACTACACGTTTACGCAATTCTACTTTCATTCAAATCGGACTAGCCGTTTAAAAGTCAAATATTTATTTTCAAATTTCTTCAGATATCGAATTTTTGCAGTAAAAACACAAACAAAAAAATAAAAGTTCCGTCAGTAAAAACGCAAATTTTATATAAGTACGGCAACATTTTTTTACCACTTATATGGTAGCACTAAAAAATTGCATGTTTTTGGCGCAAATAAACAATAAAAAATTGTACATCTTTTGTTTGGAAACCATAAATTTTGTAGCAAATTTAATAAATAAAAAACATGCCTGAAGTAGAATTAACAGCAGAAGAAATTAAAAGGCGTAATTTACCTTGGTAAGTAATTAGATAAATAGTAAAAACACCATCTTAATAAGAATGTTACTTTTCACAGGATCGAAAAATATCGACCGGCAAAATTTGATGAAATTGTAGGCAATGAGGATACTGTGGCTCGTTTATCAGTATTTGCCACTCAGGGTAATGCTCCAAACATTATTATAGCGGTAAGTACTCAGCAGATAATATAAATAAAATCCTATACTATAAGTAAGTGCGTTGCATTGTGAATAGGGTCCACCTGGTGTGGGCAAAACTACAACTATACAATGTTTGGCTAGAATATTACTTGGTGACAGCTATAAAGAGGCTGTTTTAGAATTAAACGCCTCCAATGAACGTGGTATTGATGTAGTGCGTAATAAAATCAAAATGTTTGCCCAACAAAAAGTCACACTACCCCGTGGTCGTCATAAGATTGTTATTTTGGATGAGGCCGACAGTATGACCGAGGGAGCTCAGCAGGCTTTAAGACGTACCATGGAAATTTACAGTAATACGACCCGCTTTGCCCTAGCCTGCAATACTAGTGAAAAGATTATAGAACCTATACAATCTCGTTGTGCCATGTTACGTTTCACCAAACTATCAGATGCCCAGGTTTTGGCCAAGCTACTGGAAGTTTGCCAACGTGAAAATCTCGAATACGATGATGAAGGACTCGATGCCATAGTATTTACAGCACAGGGTGATATGCGTCAAGGTTTGAATAATTTACAGTCAACAGCTCAAGGTTTCGGTAAGATAACCGTGCCAAATGTTTTCAAAGTATGTGATGAACCTCATCCCATGCTTATACAGGATATGTTGCAGCATTGTGCGCAAAATGATATACACAAAGCCTATAAGATATTAGCTAAATTATGGCGTTTTGGTTATGCTGCTGAGGATATAATCGGTAACATATTTCGCGTTTGCAAGCGTTTAAATGTCGATGAACACATGAAGTTGAATTTTATACGTGAAATCGGTGTGACACATATGAAAGTGGTTGATGGTTTGAATTCATTGTTACAATTAACTAGTCTACTAGCTAGGCTATGTGAAATTGCAGATGCCCATTAAATAAGTGTATATTTTTAGTTTTATAGTTATTTTAAATGAATAAATAATATTGTATTTAAAAAGAAAATTTGTTGGTTTAATTTATTTTTATATTGTAATAATCACCAAATATTTGTCCGAAAGCGTACACAGTACACAATTTCAAGTTTTTCATATAGCCTTTAAGAACTTGAATAGAAAGTTTGGTTTTACGCAGTGACGGACACTTCCATTTGTTGTTATAGGGATCAATACTGGTAACCGGCAGATTTAGACTTAGGTGCAATCATTGACCGGAAATAAAAATGAAGACACCACATAGAGGATAGGTTCAACAAGGCAGATTTGCGCTGGGCGCTATGTAGAAGTAGCATAGTCACGAAATGGGTTCTTAGTTCTACTATGGCACACTGACTTTATAAAAGAGTGATGGGACCAATACTAACATATGCATCAATAATCTGGTGGACTTCTTTGGACAAAATGTGTAATATAAAACCACTACAAGGACCATGAGCATACGTCAACCAAGTCTGTGAAACGTCTGGGGAAACGATCAATGCATAATGGTCACATTGGAAGGCTATACACAAAGATCGGATGTGCCCGTTCGCATACCATGTGGCTAACTTTAAAACACCGATCAAAGATAGAATATCATCAAGCGGAACATTTAAGCAAATACTCGTAGGAATTCGTTGATACACGAATGGCTCTAAACTGGGCCGGAGGTTCTAAATTGAAAATCCAGAATTTATATTTTTTGATATAACATCACGCACGATATAATAATGCTATGTAATAGTTTTGTTAACAATTTCCAAAAATTCATCTAATATTTCCATTAGAGAAAATAATGCTAATGAAAAACGATCATTAAAATTATTTTCACTTTAATGCTAATGAAATCGTCAATTTATCTTTCGATTTAATTATTTACTCCCAAGTATGTTCCATTGAACAAATTAATTACAATATTTTGTTATTTTCGTTCTATGTATCTTAAGTGATTATCCTCGATTTATCATTACATATTCTCTCTTCACACCGCAACTGCTAAAGTATCTATATTTCTTTAGTCGAATATTGAATTTCTTTCAAATGTCCTGTAAAAAATTGATATTAGCTCAGATTTAAATGTATATTTAATACATCCCCTAATTACCTTGCATGCAATTTAAAAGCAATTACTTTAAAAGCCTTTTTTCATCATTTAAATCAGAAAACGATAAAAGAAAACTTTTTATCCCACAACAACAGATTAAATCCTTTAGAAGAAGTTTGAGTAAGCTACTTATTGATAAACAATATTCTTTATACATCCGTACATATGCATTGTTTAGCATAAGTATTTAAAATTCCTCATAATCCACTAGAGATGAGGGAGAAAGGGATGAAAAGTTAGAAGAAAGCAACAGCAACTTGAGTAAGAAAAGCGAGACAACGAAAATGAAAAGTGTAACAAAACTACCAAACCGGGTGAATTATGAGAGTTTTCAAAGATTTATGAATGACAAAAAATAAAATATTTTATTTGTGTGTTTTTTGAAATCATCTTAAAAATCAACAACAACAAAAATACACACCAACCCACTAATAAATCTTAACTACTCAGTTTTTGCAACCCTAGATTTTCAAGTATTTACAGAAGGTGGCCAATTTAATGCGTGTGTTTTGCTAATATTGGAAACAATTTTATTGGAATCGATTACTAAAGACTAGACTACATACTAAACTACAGACTGGACTATAGACTAGACTATAGAATAGACTATAGACTAGACTATAGACTAGACTATAGACTAGACTATAGACTAGACTATAGACTAGACTATAGACTAGACTATAGACTAGACTATAGACTAGACTATAGACTAGACTATAGACTAGACTATAGACTAGACTATAGACTAGACTATAGACTAGGACTATAGACTAGACTATAGACTAGACTATAGACTAGACTATAGACTAGACTATAGACTAGACTATAGACTAGATATAGACTAGACTATAGACTAGACTATAGACTAGACTATAGACTAGACTATAGACTAGACTATAGACTAGACTATAGACTAGACTATAGACTAGACTATAGACTAGACTATAGACTAGACTATAGACTAGACTATAGACTAGACTATAGACTAGACTATAGACTAGACTATAGACTAGACTATAGACTAGACTATAGACTAGGACTATAGACTAGACTATAGACTAGACTATAGACTAGACTATAGACTAGACTATAGACTAGACTATAGACTAGACTATAGACTAGACTAGACTAGACTAGACTAGACTATAGACTAGACTATAGACTAGACTATAGACTAGACTATAGACTAGACTATAGACTAGACTATAGACTAGACTATAGACTAGACTATAGACTAGACTATAGACTAGACTATAGACTAGACTATAGACTAGACTATAGACTAGACTATAGACTAGACTAGACTAGACTATAGACTAGACTATAGACTAGACTATAGACTAGACTATAGACTAGACTATAGACTAGACTATA